TCTGTGTTCTTCCCCACTTTCATGAATTGAACAGATAGATAAGCAGGCCCCAAGGCAGTGCTTCTTTGTCTGTGTTGGAGAACTAGATTTCTGCTCCACTCTAACCTAAATCCACCATGGAGCAAGATTTTGGTCTACAACCAATGAGATGAGTTTTCTGGGCATGTGCTTAGGTGTCATAGGAATGTCAAATTGTGATAAAAGTTTCAAAGAGCATGCTGTCAATCTTATAGCTCAACTTAGATGAATTTTTACCACAAAGTTTATGGACAGGTACTGGTCTGCATCAACACTTCAAGAAGACTGCCTCAGCAGATGCAGAGATAAGATGCAAATAGAGAATCCTGAGAGTTGTGTGGAGAAGAGTCACATGCTGGCCTGGAATGTTCAGGTGCTTAAAATATAAGATAGAAAACAAAAGCCATCTCCTTCAACCTCTGTACCTCAGGACCATTTTCTTAGGAGGGTTAGCTTTATCGTAATACAGATAAGACATGCAACATATTGGTAAGATGTGTTACGTGCCAACTCCCCAAAAGGAATGTAAACATTAAGCACTGCAAATGTGTACTAATAAAAACAAAATAAAAATTACAAAACAATAGCAAAGTAGGATTTCAAACCCCAAAAATACCCCCACACTGTAAGCTTGTTGGTTCCACTTGCTGGGGCAGTGCCACTGTTTTGGTCAAGCTATCCAACCCCTGCAATTTAAAAGAAGCGAAGTTTATTTTGGCTCACAGTTTCAGTGGATTCAGTTCATGGGTAGCTGGCTGTAAGGCAGAAACAGCATGACGCAGTAGCATGGCAGTGGAAAAGTGTTTACTGCATGATGAACAGGAAGCAGACAGAAAAGGGAAGAGCCAGGGAGGCGGATATATTCTTTTGAGTTAGGATCCCAGTGACCTGCCCCTGCCAGCCAAGCCTCACCTCCATATGTTAGATTTTTTGGAAAGTGGCATTTTAGACCTGAACCATAGCAGCCACACTTCACAGGACATTCCGCAGTACTCACTGTACACTACATTCAAGTATGATACAAAGCCTCTGCTTCTCTGCCAGCAGATCCCAGCAAGACAGGCTCTTGGTATGTCTTGGAATGATTTGAATCCAAGTAAATCCATACTTTGAGGCTAAAGTGAAACTATGGGTTTAAAAATGCTTTGATAAAAAGGATGTGAAGTATTTTTTAAGTTCTTAAAACAGCTAGTTGAGAGAAGGATCTAGGGACCCTGCTGAGGTCTAAGAGGCCTTGTGGGGCAGTTACTGCAGCCTACACTTAGAAGAGATGAAATTCGTTTGACACCTAGAGTCACAGATGCCAGCTGAGTGACCTTGGGTGAGTCACGTGGCATGCTCTCTGTACAGGAGGATGTTATGATGACATTGCAGAGATCAGAAGTTCCCTGAGGAGGTACAGACAGACCTGCCTGCTCTGTGTGCCAGCCAGAGCCTGGCAGCAAACAGATGGCACATGCAAGCGGGGAGACTGGAGGAGAGTGAGCTCTCTACAAAGGAGCTGCCCAAGTGGGAAAACCCACAGTGATAGCCTGATACCTAGCTAGCAGTGGGGTGAAGGAGGAGGGGAAGTGGCCATTACTCCCCATAAGCCTGAAGGGGAGAACAGAAAGCAGTTGTCAGAATCCAGTTTGAGCAACATCCGGGGCCCATCAGATAGGAATGCAGGCTGATGCTAAGAGGCCCTGGTGAGGCCTCTTTCGGGGAGTGGGCAGCGGGTAAACATGCTGACCTCCCTCTCTTCCCACCCTCCTCTCTCCTGTTTCTTCTGTCCAAGGACCAAACTCGAGCATAGGCTGAGGCTGAGAGCCCATCGGCAGATCAGCCTGGGGTTCAGAGGAAGCTGGAGAATCCGGACAGGGCGTCCAGTGGGGACAGTGACTGTACCTCCTCACTGCAGCCTGTGGAAGCTGATCAACTTTCAGAAGCACTTTGTTTCTTTTTCTTTCCTTTTTTGTTTCTAAAATGATTTTATAGTCTCTGGATGTAACTGCAAGTGAGGAGGCCGCATGCTTCCTCTGAGGCACCACGTAACTGAAAATTGGACTTCTCGAATGCCAGGCGTGAGGTCTGCTCTCACCGGGGGCACAGAGGATGAGCAAATGGTTCTTTCCTGCCAGTTCTGTCTCCACCTCTTTAAACCCTGTTTCTGTTGTCCTTGTCTGAGAAGCCACCATCTGGCTGCAACCCGCCTAAGGAAGGTATCGGTGAGTTGGGGACCTGGGGTACGTCCCCCGCTGCCTTAAGAGGTGATTAGTGGCTGCTTGTTGGCAGATGTAGCTCAGTGGCATTTTAATATCCAAATGTCCCTCCTGCCTTATGAGGGAGGCCACAGACTACTGAAGGCGTCTCACACAGAGAGCCCTGATTGCTGTGACAATCATTTCCTTCAACAGCCATTAAGACACTTCTGAATGTGTTTTTAAAAAAGAAAAACAAGAGAAAAAGTGGGGGCTGAGGAGGCCAACATCCTTCCTATTTGCAGGCAAATATCAGTGTTCACGGGGTGAACTTTAACTAATCAGCCGGGATGTGAATGCTGAGGTTATTAGCACATTGCCAGCACCCGCTTTTCATCCTTGGCTCAGCCTGTGGAGGCTCCCCAGGAGGCCAAGACCCCAAGATTAAGCCCTGCCCTCATTGAGGTGCTTCTCACCTGGGCTGTCCATCCATTCACATCCTCCAGTCCAAGAGTGAGGCCGACTCAAGTGCTTGAGGTCATGCCCAGGCATGAGTGACCCTTTCTTTCCCCGCTCCTTCCCTCTGCAGAGTGGCCAGTGCTCCAGCCAGAGTCTGGTTCACACTCGTGGTGGCCAGAACGCGCTTGCATCCTTGTGCGGCTTCTAACAAATGTATGGGAGGGACTTTCGCATGCCAGGCCCAGCTCCAGAGGTGCGATTGCTGCAGGGTGAACCTGCAGGGCTCTGGCTATGACCATTCAGAACAGGTAAGTCATGAAAACGGGTGCCAGAGGCCCGCTGTGGGCCAGACACTAACCCTTCCTGTGCATGGCTGGGCACGCCTGGTCTTGCTCAGGACAGTGACTGTTGATTGGTCTGGAAGTATTTGAGCCTTTGACCAATTGCCACAGTCGAATTTAACATGCCGGGGAAGAAGACATAGTGACTTGTCCCACGAGGAGCTGACCTTCGTAGGACCAAAAAGAAGCAGCCACCTCTTCTTTCCTGTCCTTGCAGGGATGCGACAAAAACCCTGCCAAAATATAGGGACAGCTTCATTTTCTGTGCCGGGCCTATGTGGAGTCTTTTTTTTTTTTTTTTTTTTTTTTTTTTGTCTTTTTCTTTTTTTATCGGTACCGGGGATCGAACTCGCGACTGCCTGCTTGCAAGGCAGGCGCTTATGCCACTGAGCTAAATCCCCAGCCCCTATGTGGAGTCTTTTAAAAATGATGAGTGAAGTAGCAGGTCACTGGGCACAGGGGTCACCCCAGGAGCCCATCGGTCTTCCAAAGGCAGGGGTGAATGACCGCACTGTTTCGGTCATTGAGGCAGGTATCACAGTATGCTCGGCCCCCCAGGCGAGAGCAAAGCAGGTGACATGGAAGAACTGTCTCCACTGCGGCTGTGTCTGCTTCCTTTCCTTGCTCCTTTAAGGCTGAAATGATGGCTGTGGATCAACCTGACCATGACCTGCTGTGTCTTGCACCACTGGGTCTTAGGCAGCGCTTTCCAAACGGGAGGCGGACTCTCGCCCAGACCCACGGAGCCTCGTGGTTCCTCCTTTGAGAATCACAGGCACAGCGTGTGAGTCTGGTTTTGTCTCTGGAAAGGAAATGTTGTCCTATGCTAACTGTCACTGTTAGCAGCCCTGGCCCGTGAACGGGGGTTTTGCATTCTACAGAACCATCATCCAGCCTGGATTTCCACGCCCCTTAGTTCTGAGGATTGTTAACACAACCAAGAAGGTGGAAATGTAGAGGAAGATGAGTGGGAGCTGAGAGTGCAGATTATCATCGACAAAGATAGAAGTGGTAGCAGTATTTTTCTTAAAAATTACCAGATATGCTCTTCTGAGTTACTCTTAGAGCAAGTCTGCCAAAAGTTGCCTTAAAATCTGTATGTGAGGACATACTAGTAAAAAAGGAAAATATACACAAAGGCATACAAAATATATACAAGGCATAGCTGCATCTACACAATTGTACAGAAAACACTGGAAGGATACATACATTAGTGATACCCTTCAGAATTTAGAGGCAGAAAAAGCTTTCTCATGTTGGAGACAGTTTATATTTAGAAGCTCATCAGATTTCCCTTTTTGCTTTAGCTGCAGGGAAGCTCAGGATTAAACTTGTCATTTTATTTTATTTTTCTTGTCCTTTTTTTTTTTTTTTTTTTTTTTTTTTTTGGACAGGGTCTCGCTATGCTCTCTTTGTAGTCCAGGCTGGTCTCGAACTTCCAATGATGCTCCTGCCTCAGTCTCCCAAGTATTGGGATTGCAAAATGGTAGCATTATACCTCAGTCAATGTTTTTCAACCTTCACTGCAGGCTGGAATCACTTAGGCAGTTTTTTTAAAAATCCTAGAATTTAAGCCACACCCTAGGCCAGTGATGGTGGCCCTTTTCAAACTGTCTGTGCAATAAACAGTTCACTGCAGTATGCATGCCATAGATTCACCACCACTGCTAGACCAAAGTAGAATGTGTGGAAAGAGGAGACCCAACCACCTCACTTTTTTTTTTTTTCTTAGAATAATGATTTTATTTTTCAATTTTATTTTGAAAAAAAGAAAGTCAGAAAAGAAAAGCAAAAGACGTTAACAACAACAGCAAAAAAAAACACACTAGCAATATAGGGTTTCAAAACAGAATGAAAGGAATTTAACAATGATTGTTATATTGTATATTGTTCTTTTTTTTTCAAAGAAAGAAAAGAACATTAAAGAAAATAGATAAACAGAAAAGAAGGGTAGAACAATACCAAATTCAAAACAATTAACATCATAGAAATGCTAGTTGAGGGGCAGGAGATTTAGCTCAGCGGCATAAGTGCCTGCCTTGTAAAGTAGGCAGTCGTGAATTCGATCCCCGGTACCGCTCTGGGAAGGGATCCCTCTTAGTGGAGTCTAAATTGGGCCCAAAGTCTGCACGCTTGCAGGATGATATCTGAGTCTGAAAGGTTCAGGAATGCATAGGCCACGATCTGCTTGAGGTTGTCCATGTCTGGGTGCTGGCAAAAGTCTCCTGGGTACTGGAGAAGCCAGGTCTCCAGGATGGAGCTCAGAGCACTCTTGTTCTGCTCGTCCTCCTCAGAGTCCGGGAGGAAGGATTGGTACCTGAGGAACAGCAGATCCAGCACCTGCCGCGTGGTGGCGAACCTCCTGTAGATGGCCAGGAAGGCAGGCACGAAGAAGGGGTCCCTGCGCAGATGGGCAGGCACCAGGTTGTCCACCAGCTCCTTCAGCATGTCTGGCTCCATGCTCCCCACTTTGCCAGCCTTCTCCTGCTTTCGGCTGGACTTCTTTGGGTCCTGAGGTGGCAGCGCGAAGGGAGAGTTCAAGCTTGGATACCCTAGCAGCTCTAAAGAGCTCAGCCCCCAGGCTATCAGCTGCCAAACGCGTCCCCTGGTTTCACACCCACTCACGCCTGCTGCCCCACACACCACAGGGGCAGGCAGGGTCTGGGCTCTCCCGGCTGACTCTGACCTGTTGGGGGCTCACCTGTGTCATCTTGGGGGTTCTTGGGTCAGTGTGCTCCAGGCTCTGGGCCTGACGACTGCCTGAGCCTCTCAGCCTTCGAATAACACCTTCTCTCCACCAACTCTTGTGGCCTGAGCCTTCGCGTTTTGGGAAACAGCAAGAAAACATCCTCCTGGTTGTTGAGTCTCTCTACCAGTAAATGTAGTCAACCAGCCTTGAGAGTTCTAGGTTCTGTTAGGCAAGCGTTGTCAAGGAAGTGAGGTCACTTCCTCTGTTCCCCTCCCCTACCTGCCTCTCCCATGTCCCCTCAAATGCTGGATGACCCTTCCCAACCTGCTAGGGTTTGAGTCTATTTTAGATCCGGCTTCAGGTTAGGGTAAGTGTTAGGGTTGAGGTTGTCCTTGGGATTTGTGTATAATTTCGGTCAGTGTTGGTGTTGAGATTGGGGTTAGTGTTCAGTGTTGGGATTAGGAGTAAATTTTGGGGTTAGAAATTGGAAATGTGTTTGGGGTTTTGGTTTAGCATGAGCGTGAGTGGTAGGTCCAGGGATTAAAGGGAGCATAAGGGTTATGATGAGGACTAAGGTTAGAATGAGGTTTAGATTGTATTTAGGATTTAGGGTAAGGATTTAGAGTTAGATTCAAGGTTAATTGTAAGATTAGTTTAATGGTTTTCTTTCCACATATGCTTAGATTTAATATTATAGTTGGGGTTTATTAGAGTTAGTGTTGGTTTCTGTTTCAGGTTAAGTTAAGAATAATGATGCGGGTTAGCTTTATACTTTAGGGACAAGGTCAAACTTTAGCTTTAGATTTAAGTTTAGGATTAGATTTATTGGTTAGTATAAGTGTCAAGATTAGCATATCAGGTAATTCTAGCTATCATAGTGAATTTGACAGTGTCCTTTCTTTCCAATTAAAAAATAACTTGGAAACCACCTCACTTTTAAAGAACCCTGAATGAGTCAGTGTGATGCTGAGGCTAAGAACCAACACTCCAACAGGAGTATTTGACTTTTCCTTATTTTTAAAAAAATCACATTCTTATTTACATTTTCTTTATAACTAATTTTTCTTTCTTTCTTTCTTTTTGGTACCATGGATCAGAGTCACGATATGACATTTACCAGACAAGCACTTGAGCCACTGAGCTAAGTCTCCAGCCTGTATTTATATGTAGTCTTTCCATTTGGTTCTGTACACCAGTCTTAGCTACTTTTCTGGTTGCTGGGACAAAATACCCAACACCCACAACTTAAAGGAGGAGAGATTATCTCGGCTCACAGTTTGTAGAGGTTTCAGTTCATAGTCCGGTGGTTCCACGGTCTATGGTAGAACTATGGTAGAAATTACCCATGGTATGGTGGCCAGAAGCAGAAAGATCAAGGAGGAAGGAGGGAGCTGGATCCTTCCGGATCAGGCTTCCAGTAACCCACCTCCTCTCACCAGGCTTCACTCCCAGCATCACATTTAGCTATAAACTCACCGGGGCACTAATCCACTGATGGTGTCCTGCCCCTATGATCCAATCACGTCATAAGCCCCACTGAGGAGCCCGTGAGGCTGCAGAGGGACATCTAAATATGAAGCATAACCACATTCTTGTAAATTGCCCCAAGTCCTCTATGGAACAAGAGCAAAGCATGCAGCAAAAACAATAAACTTGCGTTTAAACCACAGGACACGCAGACTCTGTGGGTTCAGCTGAGAGACTGCTCCGCAGGAGCACACCCCATGGGCAAGTAAGGGACACTGAAACACAGCCCCAGGCCTGGCCTGGGTCTCAGTCTGCCTGTAAGAAAAGTTCAAGTTTCTGTGTTTTAAAATATACTTTTCTTGGTTAAGAGCTTCCCTGATTAATACCCTCTTTGTATTTGTGGGTAGGGACAGAGCATGAAGATATCAAATTCTGCAAGAAATAATTTCCAGAACCATGTTGATGTATTTTTGTCCTAATCATCGGAGAAGTTGAACTTGACCTACTAAATTGAGCTTGTGTATAAGTCCATGTCACTGGGGAAGAGAGAGCAGCCTTCCTCCCAGTGGGATTTCTCCATGGCACTTACTAAGATGGAATGGGTGGGGACAGTTACCCCTTATTGGAACTGTGGTCACTGTTCCTGAGGGTACCAGGACAGGGGAAGAGAGCGAGTAGTCCTTCCCTCCTACCCGGGTTGTCCCCCTTTGAACCTGCACCTTATAAATCTGTCCCTGGTGCTATTTAACCACCCCTTTACCCGGGTATGTATAGAACTGGAGGGGTGGCAGGAAGCCTGGGTCTCGCCTTGAACCCCAGTTCAAATCCAAACAGAGAACAGAAATATGGGAACCATGCCTTGAGCGGAAGAGAACTAGGGAGTAGTGGAGACTGGTGAAAAGGAGCAGAGAGCTCTGGAGGGGTATTCAACACCCCTCCAACATCCCTAAAAGGGAATGCTGAAACAGGGGGCTGAGTGAGGTGTTTGAGGGGACAAGTGAGGTGCTGGGAAAGAAGACCCAAAGAGAGATGATGGGACATGAATAACTTCTTCGAGCTTTAAATTTGGCCTCTAAAGAAAAGGGCATCAACCTTCCCCTAACTCAGGTAGGACCTTTAAACTCAAGAATCCTCACACTCACAGAACACAAGCAGGACTGGGGAAAGGTGTGTAGGGAGACACCCCAACAGCTGTTCGGAAAAGGGAAGTAGGGTCACTCATTAGCACTAAGACCTCTGCCCTGGTAGTCAGCCCTGACAGCTCCTCCTTGGATTAGGACTGTCCCCTGACCTCATGAAGGACAACTCCCCACTGGAATCCACAAGTCATGGTTGGAAGTGTCCAGGGCACCTGCAGAAATCAAGGCTCACAGTGATGGGAACAGAAGTTTCTGGAATTTGTGAGTCTGATGTTAGCAGGCTCATTGCCCAGGAGACTATACAAGAGAACTTAAAAATAGCATTCTCTATAATTGTTTGAGTCTCTGGGTGTTTAGTAACCATGTCTGGCAGTCTATACCCAAGACAGACTGGCTGTGGGGAAAGCCATTGTTAAAATAAAATCATTAGCTTAATAGGCTTGATGAAAAGGGCTGTGGGATGGGAATTTCCTCTTGCAGTTTGTTCTCCACTCAAAACAGTTCCCAGAACCGGGAAGCCATGTTAATTATTGACTAACATCCCCTAGTCTCTCTTGCAGTTTCTTCCCCCTTAGGGATCTAACATTACTTCTGAAAATAGCTTGACGTCCTAGAATTTGCATCGTCAGATGGGCCTCCCTGTCCCTCAGCCCTGGAATGATTTATTTTACCATTTGTTTGGTTCCCTCGTGACTACACACACACACACACCCACGGGCACATGCACTTGCACGCGTGAAAAACCAGTTTTGCCATATTCTAAAGAAAAGAAGTGGCAGCTCTTGAACTGAGGGCATGGAGCGGTGGCCAAGTGCTCAGTGGTGTCAGCGTGCCAAAGGTTTTTCAGGCTAAGGATGACAATGCATCCTGAGAACAATGAACCTGAGCTGGGCAAAACCCAAGCCTCCCACACCCTGGGGCGGATTCAAAATGGCCAGAAAGTCTTTGTCTCCTCCCTTCCCTACTCTTCGCAGGAGACTGGCGTTTGCACTGGCTGGGTGTGGCGGTGCAGCTAGGGTCCCAGAAGGCTGGGAAGCAGAAGTAGGAGGCTTACAAGTTCAAACCCAGCCTGGGCAACTTTAATGAGATCCTGTCTCAATATAAAAATAAATGCTGGAATGTAGCTCAGTGTGAAAGCCCTGAGTTCATTTTCCACTGTTGTAAACATGCACACACACACACACACACACACACACACACACACACACACGTACAATTTATTTTTCCTTCCTGACTAGCCCTGAGATGGCATTCGCCTGGTGGAAGTGGCAATGTGCCAGGAATGAGGCTCACACCCTTTATGGGTCCAGCAGTGTTTTAGTCCAAGCTGCTGTAACAAAATACCATAAACTGCATAGCTTTTAAATAACAGCAATTCCTGTCTTGTGGTTTTGGACGCTAGAAGTCCAAGATCAAAGAACCAGCAGATCAGATGTCTGGCGAGGGCCTCTGCTTTCTATAAGCTGCCTCCCTGCCTATGTTCTCACCCAGAGGAAGGGACAAGGCCTATTTTTAAGGGACCTAATCCCCTCCTAAGGCCTCACCACTTAATGCTATCACATTGGGAATCAGGTTTCAACACATGAATTTGGTTGGGACACAGACACTCAGAGGAAGTTCCCTTTTCTGCCTTTGGGAGCCCTAAACTGCTAGGTAAGAAGTCTGGTTGCCTTGCTGAGCAAACTCTGTGACAATGAGAGGACCCGAAATGCCACAAAGGATTAGGAAGGCTCTGTGATCCAGAGCTCAGCTCCCAGATGACTCTAGACCCAGCTGTCACCTGGCTACAAATGCATACAAGGTTGCAAATGTGACCACTAGTCACCTCACAGAACTGAGGGAGAAAACTGACTCAAGCTGCTAAATTTTGTGATGGTTTGTTATGTAAACACAGCTTTGCAAAACACTACTCACAGAGATACAGAGGGCGCATGCGCTAAGCCCTAGGACCCAGTCACTGCTTCTCTGACACCGACCATGCTCTGCCTTGATTTCCCACAGTAAATGGAATTACCAACACTGAAAGGACCCCAGGGCCTGGAGGAGAGGCCCCTTTTCAAAGCTTTCATCTTCTTGAATTAGCTGGGTCACACATCCCAGGGAGGCCAGCTGGTTTCTGAATTGGGCAAGGTTCTGGATTCCCAGCACATAGGTGCAAAGACATTCTGGGAAGCTGGGATTCTCAGATGTTCAATGTCCCCCCAAAGGCCTGTATATTAAAATCCAGGAAGATACAGGGTTGTACCAGGATGGTACAATTGGAGGTGGTGGAGTCTTTAGGAGGTGGGGCCTGCTGGGAAGTGTTTGGGCCTCTGGGGTTCGGCCTTTGAAGTATGATGTGGGAACTCAACCAGTCCTGTTCCTGTCTACTTCCTGGCTGGAGATATAAGCATTTTGTTCCTACTCATGTTCCTTCCACTATGTGCAAACATCTGCCAGTGTAGGCTCCATGCCTTTGAGTCTTCAAAACAGTGAGTTATACAAACTGTTACTCTTTTGCCTTAGGTATTTTGTTGTAGTATCGTGAAGCTGATTGATAAAACAGGTGTTTGCTTTGCTGATTTCATAACATCATTTGGTTGGACTGTATCTCAAGATAGAGTTGTGTGACTCTGATCCCAGATTTTCTTCAGAGGGAAAGGAACCCCAGAACAGTTATGGGGCAGGGATTGTGTGCTAGGCACTGGGCCAACAACCCTCTCAGTCTCTGCTTAGTGCACATTCATGGAGAAATACTGGGCTACTCAGCTGGTTGCAAGAAATCCTTAATTTCTATTTATAGTTATCACTTTGAGCCTTGAGTCTCATGTTATATTTACTTTAATT